ACTGAAGTTGTTGAGCTTTTTTTAAGAGTTTACCACAGGACATATACTGCCACGGATTAAATCAGCTAGGAGAAAATCAGATAGGAGAAAGACTCCTCATTTTATAGGCAGTTTAAGATGCATGAAGATCCCACAAACTTCAGTGGGAAACTCAGCAGTGTTTTCCTGCTCATTACTTATGTGTGTTTGGCACAGTATTTACAGGCATTCTAATACACAAACAAACACAAACAAAGATCACCAGCTATGAACTATATAGGATAATCAGTCTTTGCTTCCTGTAACTTTGCGTCTTCCATCCTAAGGGCACAAAATATTCAAATATGCAGGATATCCGACAGGCCAGATTTCAGATTTACAGGACAAATGTTCCCCATTATATAGGAAATTAAAGGAATTGCATAGGCATAGCCAAACAGCTATCAACATTAAATGGAATTTTCCTGTCTGTCAATTTCACTGCTCTACCACTTTCTCCAAGTGACCTGTGTGTGAACTGTACATAGGTCTGTTTCCTTAAGACAATGCCTCCGATGCAGAGCAGTTGCAAATGAATCATTTTCATTTTGCTTCTGTTTGCTAAAAATATATTTAAAAAATCCCATTCATTTTTATTATTGAAACAAATGGAGGAATGAAGCCTCATTTGTTTATTTTTTAAAAAAGCATGAACCCCTTAGCATGCGGGTTAACAAAAAGCAGTGGCGTAGCGTGGGTTGTCAGCACCCGGGGCAAGGCAAGTAATTTGTGCCCCCTAACCCGTGGATTTGCGGCCGCTAACCTGTGGATTTGCCCTAACCCCAGATGTTGCGCCCGGTGCGGCCGGGCCCCCCCTGCACCCCCCACGCTACGCCACTGACAAAAAGAACAGATTTTTGAAAGCAGGCTACTATTCACAGTAGTTTAATATGTTATTTATGATGTACAGGGACCCATATGAATTTCGCCTTCCTTGGGCTATAGTTTTTGCATAGTAATAGGAGAAAACCTTTCCCTCCAGAGTCTGTGTGAAGGGCACCCATCGTCAGCATTCATCATGGGAGGGAGGAATTGTGTGTAAACACCCTTAAGTTACGGTAGTGTCTGAGCTCTACCAGCATGGCAAGTATACAATGTTGGCTTCTATAGATAGCACTTTTACCCCCTTAAAGAAATAGGTCAGGTCAGCAGCAGCAGCCCTTGAGTTAAATGACATAATTGATAGCCTTGCCGAGTGACTGATTCACTTGTCTGAAAAGAAGGGGTTTCAAATCAATACTGCTCAGAAGCTTTCCCATTCCTTCTATTTTAGCACCCACACCTTCTAAGCTGGAACTTGCAAATATTCCTGGTCTAGAGGCAAGTTGGTTGGTTGTAATAACATAGCAGCCAACACATCAGTGTACCATCACTTTATTTGATTTTTATTTATTTTTTTACTCTCGAAGTAGCTCAGTACAATACTAGTGACTTGGTGGAGTCAGTGCAGTTCTACTGTCACTAAAAAGTTACAAGATGCTATCGGCATGCCTTATACAAAAACTGCATGCAACCAACACAGTGCTTTATACAAAAAAAAAGGACAATCTTGTTTTTTTTCTCTTTATTCATGAGAGTTATGCACAGTTAGTTGTTGTTTCCCCCAAACGACTACTAGTTTCAATCCACAACAGAACCTGAGGAGCTTAAATATCAAGTAACACTGTCTCTGTAGGCAAATCAAACCAAATGGCACTGTTATCCACAAATAAATCTCGAGTTACTCAACAATATTACAGAATGGTAGAAAAATAAAACATTTTCACATATGCACTTGAAACACACTATAAAGTCCAAATTTGCAAAACATTTAGCACATAAATCACACTTTCCCCCACTTCCTTCATATTTGTTTGAAATGTTGATGCTGATTTAAAAAAAAAAATACACCCCGGACATTATATTTCTTAACAGATACAGTCTGAGAAACTAAATGGTCACTGGTGATTAAAAACATACAGGCAGCGTTCCTATGAACCAGCTATGCCTGTGTACCAATCCCAAAGGAAACCATTTAAATGTGAAACCCCACAGTTTCTGGATTATGGTGAGGAAGTTAAATCTGAATATAACAAAGGTAAGAGCAATGAAATACTTCCAGCCAAGCCACTGTGCTGCAGGTTGATGGCATTTTTGTGTCTTCCACACACCTTTTGTTTGGACAGCTAAATTGTGCTCTTTATTTATGCATGGGAAACTCACCTCCCCCCCAATGCTTTTACACATGAGGCAGCATGCTCTGGAGAATTGAGCAACTCTGTTTTCCAGTTTTATTGCTGCCTAACTGAACATCCCTGGGCAATTGAACTTCACTTTGGCTTCCTATCTCTACAGTAGACAAGATGATGCCATCTGGCTTAAAGGGACACGGATGTGTAACCTGTTTTGTGAACGCAAAGGGAGTCATATTGCTACAGCTCTTTTCCATATCTCCGAGGCTAAGGCAAACAAATGAGGTTTCATATACTTTGCTCACTGTGGAGTAAAAATGCCTGGATGCCAAGATACTGGAAATCAGAATGTAGTCTGAGGAGGGGAGGGTATTGCTCTGCTATAAAGCTCCACTCAAGGCACTAATCTGAGAACAGACAATGTCTGAATTCAATTGCTTTTATTGGAAAACATGCAGTCCATGCAGTTCCTTCAGTGTCTGAAGTGCTTTACAATGATAACCTCTCTTTGTCCTTACCACAAGCCTGTGGGGTGGAATAGTAGGAGAAGGGAGGTTTCAGGCCACCCAGTGAGTGGAGAGGGATTTGAATTCGGGTCTCATTCAGATTCAACAGTCTGCACATCGCACTATGGTCAGGCAGGGCAAAACACACTTCTCTATCTATTCCCATTGGCATGGCTAACTATAATGCCAAGCTAAAAATGACTGGGTGTAATAAATCTCCTATGGAATCCTGCAGAATCTCAAAAGGGTAACAACATTCACCCCCCCCCACACACACACATACAAAACAACCCACAGTTTTAATTAGTGCAGGTACACATGTAATGTGGGGAGGCAAGAAGCCTTCTTCTCTCCACCATTTTTGTGGGTTTTCCGGAAAATTTTGAATTTTTGCATTAGAATTTTTTCATCCTCTACAGCAGGGGTGGCCAACTCTGAAGAGATTGCGATCTAATCACAGAGTTAAAAACTGCCCCCCCCACTTTTGGGGGGTTCAGGTCAAAGAGTGGTTAAGCTTTTTTAGGGAGGAGGAAAGCCCCATTTTTTAGGGGTTCAGGGCAAAGTTGTTGAGCTGGAGGAAAGCCCTGTTTTTTGGGGGGTGAAGGGCTAAAATGTTGAGCATTTTTTAGGGGAGCCAAAGTTGTTGAGCTTCTTTGGGGTGAGCAAGTGATCTACCAGTGATCTACCACAAACGTCCAGTGATCTACTGGTAGATCACGATCTACCTGTTGGACATGCCTGCTCTAGAGCAAGGGTCGGGAACCTCTGGCCATGGGCTTAAGGCCTACAAGCCCTTTGGCCTGCAAGACCATTTCAGCCAAGCCACCCCCACCTGCCCTATACCTGATGTCATATAGGAAGCCAGGTGTGGGGCAGGAAAAAAACTTGGCTCAACCAAAATCCAAAAGGGTGTTTTCAGGCACTACCGATCAGTCTATCTGCCATGTCTGTAAAGCGCATTTCACTGGTGATGTCAGCTGATTGACAGGTACGTGGCTCCACCCACCTGCCAAATCTGGCCCCTGAGGTACAGAGGAGATAATTATCAGGCCCATTGTGCTAAAAACGTTCTTAACCCCTACCCTAAAGATATTAGGCATGCTTTTGCATTTGGTAAATAAAGCTTAAAAGTTCGAATCTGCTCAGTCTGTCTAATATTAATCTGTAGTTGACGTTCATCTAAATGAACTTATGAAACAGGGCTCTTTTTTACCATGGAAAAATAAAGAAACTGCTCATCACCCAAGAACAAACCCCCACCATTAAGGGGGTATGTCAGCACCAACATTAAACCACAGGTAAGATCGAACAGGTTGCCTGTTCAACCAGGATGCTTAACTGGCTACAATTCTTCCAGGCAACGTTAAGAAATTGTGGTTCCTTACAAGAGCACTGCTCCTTAGCTAGTCCTCAAAATCTAGTGAAACAATATTCTCCCCACCTGAAAGAAACAATGCAGGTTAATCTAAGGGCCAATCTTCACGTGACAGGTGTTGTTGTTTTTCCTGTCAAGCTGTGCAGCGTTCCCTAATCCAGATTTCTTTTGCGCTTTGTGGACAAGATTCAAAGAGTTAAAATAAATCTGTGGACAATATTCAAAGAGTTAAAATAAATCTGTGAAATTAACTACCTTTGATGTTGTGGTGTTCCTGCTGTAGCAAAGAGTGAGGCTTTTCCATATTCATGGAATAAATCCAAATGCTCGTTTCATCTACCAGTTGAAAACCAAGCACATCCAGGAAATCTGCAAACACTGAGGCTCTCACCCTGTACTTTCTGTCTGGCTTTGCATTCCAACTAATTACATTTTAAATGCAAAAAAGGCACATGAGTTTCAGACTGTTGAACTTTCTCAAGTAATCACCAGTTCATCCTCAGTACTTGAATTTCTCATAAATGTATAAATTTGTTTCTCATATTCTCCAAGCGGCATGGAAACATGGCAAGTGTTCCACGGGGCTCTGTGGGACACTTTTATATAAGCCACAATTGTCCACTTCTCCCTTTCAGAATATTTACACCTCTTGACTTCTAAGGGTTACCTCGAGTATTTTCTATTTTGGAAACGATGCACAACAGAAAAGGTGCTTCTGAAAGACAGTCTTGCAAAATCAAGGCTTTCAGTCAGAGGTATATATCTACTCCAAAAACATTCCCGGAAGAAGAGTTTGGGTTTGGATTTGATATCCCACTTTATCAGTACCCTAAGGAGTCTCAAAGCAGCTAACATTCTCCTTTCCTTTCCTCCCCCACAACAAACACTCTGTGAGGTGAGTGAGGCTGAGAGACTTCAAGGAAGTGTGACTGGCCCAGCAGCTGCATGTGGAGGAGCGGGGAAGTGAACCCTGTTCACCAGATTATGAGACTACCGCTCTTAACCACTGCACCACACTGGCTTGGGAACTGTCGTTTGGTTAGCTGAGAAGTTGCAGTTGGAGAGCCCAACTCCACTTCACAAAACTGAAGTTCTCAGGGTTCCCTTGAGGGAGGCAATGATGATTCAGTGAGCATAGACCTTCCTCATGCATTCAAGAAGGGAGGTAGACATCAAGGGGGTGAAGGGCAGGCATGCTCTAGTCTCACCCCAAATGTCCCCTTATGGGCTGGGTACACCTGCTGCCTTGCCCACAACATTCCTATGCTGAGCAGGAATGACTGGAGGGTGCTGCTCAGCTGAGCATCCTTAGAAGCTGTTTGAAGCTGGGAACGTTGATAATGCAGGGAGGTGTCTCCAGCCAAATGCACAATAGACCGCCCTTTCGGATTTTGCTATTCAATGCAGGAACGTTGGGCTGGGGCAGGCAGGGAAGGCACAAAGTGGGTAAACACACAATTGTCCTCTTCTCCAACACACTTCATGCTTGCCCGCACATGGTCTTCTGAACGCACAGACAGAGCTTAAGTCTGTGGTGCAGGTAAGTCCTCAAAAACCAGGAAAATAAAAATGCTCCTTTCCTCATGTGGCCAGTCTTGCAAGCACGGGTAGTCTTGCAAGCATTGGGGCAAGTTGGAGTCCAACACTGCCTGCAGAATCATAGGTTCCCTACCTATGATTCTGCAGGCAGTGTTGGACTCCATCTCGCCCCAATGACATAACCAAGGCATAGGGATGATGGGGCTAGGAGTCCAGCAACATCTGCAGGGCCACAGATTCCCCCCTTGCTCTAAAGGATGTTTTGGGGTGAATAGAAAGAGGAGGTCTCCATTGCATACCTTTAGGTAGAGGTTATGGAAGAAGAAGAAGAAGAAGAGGAGGAGGAGGAGGAAGCATTCATCAAGGCTGATGTCAAGCTTCAGCAACATTGGCCATGTACTGAGCCCCACAGCCTCCAGATCTTGCCACTTCCTTTCACCGCAGTAGCTTCCTGTTTGCCTGCTCTGTGCAGTGGAGGCTGCCCCACCAGGATCACTCTACATTCAGCCAGCTCCCATCTGCTTACATCATTACCTGCAGCATATCTAGGGGGTAGCATTGGCTGCCTCCGCCTCCTTAGTCTGTGTTGCCTTACTTGGAAGAACTCCGCAAGGGAAATGGGGCAAAACCTGGAACTAGCTGGCTCTCCCTCTGCCTATCATTGGCTGTGGCGCTATCCGCTGTTTGCTCTAGTGCCACCTACTGTTGGCCTCCCTACTGTCCACCCTACCAGTCCCCAGTGGGCACCAACCTCCACTGCCTCTGAGTGAATAAGCAGGAACAGCAGATTAGGGGGAAGGAGCAGTTGCTGCTGCTTCCTGCTGGTCAGCAGCATTCACTGGGAAAAGGCAAGCAAATGCTGGGTGACTGCAACTGACGGTAAGCTCATGTTAGGCATGACAACCAGATAGCTCAGTCGGTAGAGCATGAGATTCTTAATTTCAGAGTTGTGGGTTTGAGCCCCACATTAGGCCAAAATATACCTGCATTGCATTGCAGGGGACAGGATCACCCTCTTGGTTCCTTCCAGTTCTCCAATTCTATGACCCTTCAAAGCAGTAATAACAGAAAGGATTAATAACTAACATGAGATATAGGTACTTTACACATCATTTGATACCCCAGAAGAACCATTTGTGGTTGAGGTACCAGAGCCCCACATTGGCTGCATCTCTCCACAGCTGCCCATTTCACTTTGTGGCCTTGAGGGAGTCTCTGTCCCTCAACCCAAATAACCTTGAAAGACAGTTGGGGAGAGAAGCGAGGTCAGGATCATAAAGCACTTCGTGATGTCAGAAAGAACTGCAGGAGGAATAAATAATCAAAATAAAATATTGGGCATCTGATTACCTGGGCATCTAATAAAGTATCACTGGCACCTGGATCCTGAAATTGTTTTATGACAGAGATAATGCTACATGGGAGAACATGAAGTCTTAATTCTGACCTTCTTTGTAGCATCTCCCAGTAGGATCTTAGGATCTGCCTGACTGGTGCTCAGAAGGGATGTTGATTTGTTTTTTTTAATGACCTCCATGGTTTCAGAAGCTCTTTCTGAAACTCAGTGGGATTTCAGAAACCAACTTCTAATATGGCACAGGTGAGAGGGGCTATTGAAAAAAGAAGGTTAAAAAAGCCCTCCTGTGTATGCAGATATTTCTAGACAAGTGTGGCATATTGTATTTCCAGAGACCTGTATCTTGACCTTCAGAATAGGCCATGCCATCAAGATGCAGTTGATCCTCTGGGGTTGTAGCTCTTCAGGACAGCAGCCCCAACTGAGAGACCATCAAGTTCAGCATGAGACTGCTGGACATGATGATTTCCCAGGATGTACCTACACAGATGGTGGCATTGGTCTTGATAGCTTAAATTTGATAGGGGGACCCAGATTCCTCTTTGTCACCCAAAACAGATGATTGGTGCTTTTAGAGGATGGCAAGCTTGGTGTTGGCTTCAACGATCCTGCAAGTATCCATGCAGGTCTTGTGACTCATGAAGGACTTGGTCTAAAAGAGGATCCACAAAGGGAAACCTGCTTCCACATGAGAGTCTCTCTTGCTGGATCAGGGCTCTAATGTATAAATAGAGAACCACTGTGATTTAATACTAGGGTGCTGCACGCAAACACACAAAGATTTTGCAGGATTTTTTTGCGGGGGAGGATTAGCAGATTATAAGAACGTTACACCCCAACATCCATTGACTAATTGTACGGAGCACGAACAGAAAACAGAAGTACGTGAAAGATAGCTTAATGTAAAAATGTAGCAAAAGAAAGTCATTCCAAAGAATAAAAAATCCATTCCACCATTGTACCATTAATTCAATTGCTGTGCCCAGCAAGGCATGCCTCAGTTCAATTTGGTTTAAGGGGATTGTTTAATGTTACATGCTTCTTGGTGATGCAGGGAAAGGTTTTCCATGTTTCCTGACACTCTCACCGAACCTTAATCTAAACAGCTAATCACAAGAGGTTAATTAATTAAAAAGAAGACTGCCACTTATTTACCACGCTTCTAAATTTTCTTGGCTTTTTACATTTTATTCAGATTGCTTGTTAAGCTAGAGCTTGACATGCATACATGTCAACATTTGAACAAAAGCCTTGCACAATTCTAATTTATAGTTTCTTATAAAACAAGATGAGAGAGGTTGCAGTGGAAGCCTATGTATATTTACTTAGCAGTAAGCTTCATTGGGTCCAAGGGAGCTTACTCCCAAGTAATTGAGCTCAGCACCACAGCCTTAATGATGCATCTCATTATCCCTTCACTCAACAATGCCCAATTCAGAGTTTAAGTGTAGAATCAAGGAGCATTGTGAACACACTAGATAGCTCTTTGCTTGCCATTGCCTTCCTTGAGAAATAAGTTAAATAAACAGATTTTGCAGGTTCAGTAGATTTTGCATTTATGAATTTAAGCTGATTTGTAAGTCTGCCATTATTCAGAGCAATTCCCTTTCTGCTCATCCTCAGCCTTTGGAAATTAATAAGCAAGATGTAAATAGTTTATTTTTACCTCTCCTGTAAACCACAGTCTTTTTGGAAGGATTTGTTCAAGCCATTTATGAGATTACGTATCCTCTTTATTTTATACAGAAAGAATTTTGTAATAATTCAAAGCACTGCTTGCTGCAACAGAACATTTTTTCCAGATACATTTTGGTAGATTAAATGAAGCAAATAAGGCTTTATTTTCCATCCAAACTGTTTTGTGTTTTGAATCAATCGGGGACTGGGATTCCTGCATCAGTTGGCAGCTTTCATGATACATTGTTTTTGGCCTATTTCAGGTCATCTTCCCCACTACCTTTCTCTTAGCCATAACACTCCTTTCTAGTGCACGGTTATCGCAGCCTGTTTCTGACTGCTTGAAAAGAGCTGTAGAGAACAGTATTTCCCTACAAACCCAAGTAAGCTGGAAATGGAGAATTCAGTAAGATTGTGTTGGGCAAGGGGTAGAGCATGCAGAAGATTCTGGGTTCAATCCCCAGCATTTCCAAGTAGGATTGGAGCCTGCCTGACATCCTAGAGAGCCACAGCTGAGCAGTGTTGACAATACTGAGCTTGAGCTTGGCCAAACTCTGCTTCCTAAGTTCCTAAATCCAAATGTCATGTCCACATGTGGAAATCTTGGGGGGGGGGTGTGATGAAGCCATCTCAGATCACTGTCAGGCACTGGGAAAAGGTAGGGAAGGACATCATTCAACCAAGCCTTTCTGAATCTGACGTAAATCTTTTATACATTTAGATGAGGCACTCCTCTCCCCGCCCCCCCCAACCCGTGAAAATTAATGACAGTTTCTTTTTCCTAAGAAGAAGAAAGGAGCATTAAATGCCAGAAAAACTGCTATTGTCATGCAAAGTGCTTTATGTTAAAAAGGGAGAAATCCAAATTAGGGCTAAAAATAAATCAAATGCAATTCTTCATGTTGACAAAAAATATAGGTACTGCCAACTAGAATAGGTTAAATTATTGGAGAATTTGCACCAACCCCAAAACCTAACAGTGTTCTGATGTGCCCATTAGATGTGTACTAAACTGCTGAGAAGGAGTTACAAGTTCTGTGTAACCTTGGGGCTGTTGGTACTGTACATCTACTATGTTTATAGATTTGTTAACCTTTCAGGGAACATGACAGCACTAATTCTTACAATCTAATCTCTCTCTCTCTCTCTCTCTCTCTCTCTCTGTCAGACTTCTAATTGTTATTAAGGTGGGGCATCACATTTTCAGTAATCATCTCCTCTATGTACAGAAGAACCCTCCCTATATGGTAACAGGGAAGATCTATTCAAAGAAGGTTCAAGCCCATGCGGCCTTGGTCAAACCATCTCAGAAGCCAGCATGAGAGAAGCCCAGCCTGTGCCAAGCTTGCTGTCACATCCAACATCACACAAATGAGCTAGGTTTCCAGTGCATTTGGGGCTGTACGGTTTCCCCCATGTTTCCCAACACATGCCGAAAACTTGAACCCTGCATATGGTGATGGGTCAACGCTACCAGATTGTCCTAGTTTGGAAGCCACCATGCCCAGCAGTTTCCCACGAACATGCCGTGACCAGATGGTCCTCTGCACAAGCCCAGATTCAAGAGTGGGGGGGGGACACACGATTGGCTCCGCTAGACCAACTTGCTAGAATCGCAAAGAAATAATTGCCAACAGACCATTACTAACCCGCGGCCTTTCTTGCATTGTGCTTTCGGCAGTGCTTAAGAGAGCGGTCCAGGAACACATGTCTACATCCAGAACTCCTGTGATGAGGAAGCTTATCGGGACATGCAGGAAGGGAGGAGGAGGAGGAGGACCTGAAGTCAATACCAAACAACAAATTCAAGTCATCTAATATGTTCCAACCTTACTTAATTATTAAACAAAATTCAACTTTAATAAAATAAGCACCAGGCTTACTTCTCATCGATCAGCTGTGTAGAACGCCGTCAGCCTCCTTGGCATCTCTGCAAATCAAAGGGCTTTTTTTGTCATTGAGACCTACATTCAGGGAGGGGGTCTGCAATATCCCTGACTGGGGCTGGTCCCCTACAGACACTGCCCTTTCCAGAACCACAGCAAGGCAGAAACAGGCGAGGGGACTGGAAGCTGGAGAATAGACTAGAGCCTTAAAGAAATATTCACCTTCCACGGGCATTCCTCATACTCTTAAGCCAAGGAGACACCTTTTCTGAGGGTTTGCATTGCATTTGTTGTGTGTACCAGACTATCAGATAAATTATTCTTCCAGAATTAAAAGGGTAAGAACGGAAACCTCCCATACTGTTTTCCATCTAATTTTTTAAAGAATTTGACACTTACTTTCCCCACGTTTTTCCTAGCTTCACGCGGCATGTTTTTCAAACAAAACGAAACAAAAGAAATTGTCCGCTTGTTAAGTTTTCTTGAAAATGCACAAAATTAGATTCTTACATGGGTTAAAAATGAAGGGTGGGGATAAGGGAAAGGGGGATGAGAGTGCTTGCTTGCAAAAGGGAAATTAAACTGTTATTCACAAGCTTGTGTCTCCATTCTGTTTACACTCGGATAAAATGCTGAGAGTCATATCCTCACTTTTTGACTGCACGTTGAGCTCGCTCCTTCTGGAAGCTTTCCTGGTTGCTCTCGACAGCCGTCTTCGGAACGTGTCTCCAGCCAAGAAGTACAGAATAGGATCCACGCAGCTGTTGAGGCTCGCCAGCCCCCGAGTCACTTGGTAAGTGGCATAAACCCTGTCGTTAAAGGCACACATTTCTGGAGTCTGGAAATCCAGCCTGGCTCGTAGATTCAAGTTTTTCATCACGTGAAAGGGGAGATAAGACACAGCAAATACCGCCAACACTATAATAACCAGGTAAATCGATTTCCTCCTGAGCGGGGAATTGTCTAAATCTTTGTAAATCAGTGCTTTCACGATTAATCCGTAGCAACCCAGGATCAGTATGAACGGGATGCAAAACAAGAAGACCGTGGTGCACATGCTGTAAATGAAGTAGCTTCGCAGGTAGTCGTCTACCGTCGTGTCGTAGCAAGCCATGGTTTTGACTTTCCTTTCCCCAGTTCCAGAGTAGAAGAAGATGGGGGAAATCCCAGTGACCACAACCCCCCAAACCAAGGTACTGATGTAGACGGCGTTCTTTTTTTTCAGCCGCCCCAGCGATTTTAAGGGGTAGACCACACCTGTGTACCTGTGCACGCTGATGCAAGTGAGGAACAAGATGCTTCCATACAGGTTGACGTGGAAGATGAACCTCTGCAGCTTGCACATGAAGTTCCCAAAGATCCAATCGGTTTGATTGAAGTAATAGAAGATCAGTGCAGGAAGAGTCAGGACATACAAGAAGTCAGCCAGCGCCAGGTTGAACATGTAAACCGAGATGCCACTCCAAGGCCTCATGTGGAAGATAAACATCCAGATCGCCACGCTGTTGCCCAGGAATCCAGTGATGAAGACTATGATGTAGACAGCAGGCAGGTAATAGAACTGAAAACCAGTTTTGGTCAGCAAGCACTTGCTGGTGACATTGTTCGACGTCCATCCACTGCTAGCCAGCGAGTGGTTTTCAGTCCCGTTCAGAACAGCGGTCAGGAGGACTTCGGTCATGGTTTCTCCAGCAAAGTCACATAGATGGATCTAGAGGCCTGGTATCAGCAAGCGTCTCTGGAGGAAAACAAAGAAAGTATCTAAGCTGCAGCAATAAGAACACCAAAAGGCAGGAAAAGATCCAGCCTCCTCTTCATGAGTCTGTTCAGACAATCATATCTGGGCTTATTAAGCTGAGATATTTATAAGCCTTTTGCTCACACAAGAAGCACCACATCTCCTCCCTTTTCTCAAGCCACTGTTAAATCAGGAAGCTTCTAAACCACACTTTTCCTGTTCATCTGAACCGGGGAACTACAACTTCAGAACAAGCCCAGATATTAAACCAGAGAAGTCCACACGGTGCCCTCCATCAGCCTGGGGCTGATGGAAGTTGTAGTCCAAAACATTGACACTATATGGCTAACTCAACTTCAAGCCACGATTTCATATCCTGGCCTGTTCTGAAGCCACCAACCATAGTTTTGGTTCAGACAAAACAAGAAACTATGGTTAAGTAGAGACTTCCTGGTTTAATTGTGGCTTGTGGCGAAGGGAGGAGCCAAAAAGTGGAGGGCATGGGCAAAGGACTTGTGTATATCTTGACTCAAGAAACCAAAGTATGAATGTCCACCATGCAGTTTTCACTTACCACAGATCTACGCGAAGGGGGTTAAACTGTAAACCTTCTGTGAGTTGACTCTTTTGGCATGCTGATGGTTCCTGTGAATTTGCCCAAGTGTGTTAGCTGGTTGCTATTCTGATGGTTGTGCGAACAGGCCCTGGCATACCATAATTCCAGAATGAGGGGGGCACAGAGCTGCTATGCTAGCTGTCCGGCAGGTGGCCTGCTGTTGTTTATTGCTGGCTACCTCACCCTTTTCCCTCCCAGTAAGCACCAGTGACCCCAAAACGGCCTGGAAGCTGGTGTAGCAGTTCTACCCTACCCCAGCAAGTTCCCCGCTTCTGCCTTACTCACGAAACATTGTTGAGCTTCTTTCCTCAGCTTTCTCTGCTATTTCCCTTCCTCTCATTGACAGCCGGCTTATACTGAGTCAGAGCACTGTGCCACCCAGCTCTCCATGGCTTCAGCAAAGAGCCTTTCCCAACCCCAGTTGAAGATGCCAAGGATTGAACCTGGATCTTTTGCATGCAAAGCAGATGTTCTACCACTGAGCTACGGCCCTTTTCCTCAATGCCACATTTTAATTTGTTTCTAAGACATCTCACCTGCCCTTCACCATAAGGTGCCATAAGGAATATGCAATTTTAAAAACAAAAACAAATGCAACCACTGCAATTGAAAAACACATACGGCAGTTCCAAACTGAACAGAGCAGTATGAATTCAGCACAAAGCAAAGCAAAATTTAGCAGAGGCATTATTTACTTGCTAGCTATCCAAGACAGCAGTGTATCACGCTTCCCCCACCCCTCTGTCAAAGCAGCTTGCGTTTCCAGCTGGTATCCCACGCACCAGGTAGGAAGATGGAGAAGTGCTGAGGTTCACCTGCAAATTCAGCCAACAAGAGCTATGGTGGTTTCAACCATCTCCAGGGAGCCAGGCTGATTTTCTTCCTCGGCTACCTCTTCTTGCACTGTGGATACTTCACTTCCCAGTCTGGTTTGCCGTCAACAAAGAACCAAAACCAGGAAGTGATAGCAAAGACCAAATGGGGGTCGGAACAGAAGTGACAGAATCAAGAGGTGGGGAAGAGAATATGTTCCAAGTCTAGTCAAGCCAAACAAATGGGAAGGAACAGATGTTGCAATCCTGACCCAACAGAAAATAGTTGGGGGGGGGGACACAGCCTCTATTGAAGCTTATGAATCAAGACTGCACCACTGATACAGGCTGCTATTGGGTGTGTTTTTTTACTGCTGACTCTCCCGCCCCCCCATAAAATGAATTAGACTGCAATCCTAACCCCACTTATCTGAGCGTAAGCATCATTGAATTTAATAGGACTTATTTGGGAGCAGGCATGGTTAGGATTGTGCTGTCAGTAGAATCACAATAGGAATGTGAGGCCAGTCAAACGAGGCACTTTCAGAATTGCAGTTACCTTTCTTGGGGGGGTTCCTCTTCTCTTTATTTTTTTATTTAATATTATTATTATTATTTATAACCCATCTTTCCTGCAAGGAGCTCGGGGTGCCGCAAATGGCCCCCGGTTTATCATCACAACAACTCCGTAAGTCAAGATGGTGACTGACCCAAACAAAGTCCATGGCTGAGTGGAATTTGAGCACTTGTTCTCCTAGGACCTAGTCCAGGACTCAAACCACTACAGGAACTGCAGCTAAAATTAGTATGTGAACAGTTTTCTGTGCCTACATTTTAAGCGGGGGAACCAAGAAACAATGTAAGGGAAGTATATGATGTTGAGTTGTCAAATATTTAGAATATTTACAACAAAAATATTTTCCAAATAAAGCTGGGGGGGGGGAGGAACACCAAACGTTTTGAGATATTTATTTATATAACACATAACATTAACACAGCACACTTTTTGTTGTGGTTCACTGAAATTAAGTCAAATAAACAGATCCTTAAACGATGTAGGGTGCTAGAGAATTTCTAGATACTGGGTCATAGGGAAGGAGGGGAAATCCAGAAAACCTTCACACACAGTTTTTGGTTTTAAGGTTTTCTAGATTTTCCCATCCAGTGAAATCCAGTGAATTCTCAGAATTTTGCAGAAGCTCCAAAGACCTGGAATTCAAAGATGACAGGAAGGAAAAGATGGAAAGGGGCCAGGAGACAAAAGGACATAAAGGATAATGTAAGCTAGAGCAGTCTTCACCAACCTGCTGTCCTCTGGATGTTGTCAGACTACAACTCCCATTAGCTCCAGCCAACAAGTGCTAGCTGTGGATGATGGTAGTTGTAGTAGTGTCTGGAGGGCACCAGGTTAGCAAAGGCTGAGCTAGAGAGCACGGAAGATCAGAAAGTAAATTTTACAAATTGAAAGCACAGCATCCTTTGAAACCCGCATATTTCCTAATTTTGCAATGCAGTTCTCCAACCAAACAGTATGTACAAAAGTGCATACATTAAGGAGGTCTGTGCATTAAAATGCACTTATTCGTGAAAACAGCATACAGAAATGCATTGCATTAGGGGAAGTTGCTTGCAGCAACTCAGAACTACATACAGTATTGTGTTTATTAGATGTCTGAACTAAAATGCTGATTAATTTTTATGAGGGTGTGTGTGTGTGTGTGTGTGTGTGTGTGACGAATTCACAGATTATTGTGGAAATGTGGAGAGCTGAATTTGAGGCTAAAAAAATGAGAAACCAAGAAGGCTGAAATGGCCAGATTCATCTATCTCTACCTGTGGCCCTTCAGATATTGTTGGGTTCCAGGTTACGTCAACCCCAGACAGCAGATTCAATAGTCAGTGATGGGAGCTGTGGCCCCACAACATCTGGAGAGGAGAGTCACAGGTTCCACATCCCCTGTTATAAGGGGACCATGAGAAGGCGACTGTGCTGGGTACCTAAGCCGAAGGTGCAGACTCTGTGAGTGAGGTTTCCTTGCACAATTCCTGTAGTCTTCCTGTAGGCTTTCGGCTGCTATGGAATGTCGTATTTGTATCTGCTGTGAGCCCATTTACAGCGCAGCAATGACAGAAAGGGGGCATGTGAACAATGCGGACTAGCCTCTTCCCTAGGACGCCTGCTGCCCTTTGCCTGCCTGCTCCACCAGCTCTTCTTATTCCTGCGTGCCTAAAGGGCGGCAGACTCGCTTCCCTTTCTCACCACCCAAAACGCGCGCGAACGCGGAAGTCCGCGCCTGACTTCGTTCCCAGATCAGCGGGAGCAAGTGCAGAATGCTCCCAAAGGCCAGACACCCCTTGGGCATGCACAGAGCGCCTCTCCTTCCCCACTCCAGAGCCAACACACCGTCCCCGCGACCCTTTCCCCCACGAGCCTTGACTGCGCTCCCGTCCGCTCGTTTGGACAGCCCGGTCCAGCCATCGACATTTTGACTCCTGAGTCAAAAGCTGCTGGGAAATGGATGGGTGGGTTGTTGGGGGTCTTCTAGAACTAGGACGCCACCCCCTTAAAAAAACACACACCACTGTCTCCACAACCTAGGTATTTTTTGCTCCATTGGGAAAACAGTCCCTAGTTGGCGCGTTCTTAATGAGGTTTGCCATTCTTCCTTCGCTTGCATTGCTCGGAAAGGAGAGCCTTTGGGGGAAATAGCCCCTTTTCCTGGGGGAAGACGAGGAAATTCCCGCGCACCCCCCCCCAACTTTGACATCTCCGGCACTTTTAAAAAGAAACCGCTCTAAGGAGAGGGCGCTGATCACGAGGGCAGAAAGAGAAACCCATATCTATGAATGTAGATAGTTTTTAAAAAGCGATCGGGATATATATATGGGGTGGAACTATTCCCAAGCAAAAAAGGCGACGGTCGCTCGCAGGCACGAAACTTTCCCAGGCGACCCTTACCTTCTCCGGGCAGATCTAGCTGGCCCCGCTGCGCCCTGGTGCCGCCGCTTCCTTCTTCATGGCGCGGTCGCCTCCGGGCAGCCCCCCGAGCGAGGCGGGCGAAGGGGACGGAGCGGGCAGCGCGCAGCGTGTGCGCCCATCAGAGCACGGTGGCGGCGTCCGGCGCTCCGCTTCGCGATCGCCGCCACATTCCCGCACACGCACAGCCGGGGCAAAGTGCGCGCTGCTGGCTGGCGAGGGAGCCGAGGGAGCCGAGGAGGCGGGAGCACTGGCGGCAGCAGCGGCGGAGAAGCAGCCTCCCCGAGGAAGCGTCGCAGGCGGGAGAGGCTCCCCGGCTCCCGCCCCCCGAAGCCCTGCCCAGCGCCGATCGCTTCCTCGCCGAAGCCGCGCGCTCCCAGGAGGGAGGGAAGCGAGAGGCGGAGCTGCGCCTTCCGCGCTCGCTTTCCTGCGCAGCTTGGTGGGTGCCCTTAACAGGCGAAGTGGTCTATGCGTGTGGCTGTCAAGGACTCCCCCTCCCCTTTTAAAGTGATGCTAAGGCTGCTGAGCCCCAGCCCTCTGGGCATGTGCGGAGTGCTTTGTTTTGAAGCCGATTGGAACCAAACGGCACGGGGCGGTGTCCGCGCTTTACAGCGTGCTTAAAAAGTGGCCACTGTCGTTCGAAGATTGAACAAGAATGTGTTGCCCGTTTGGATCAAGTTCAATGTCTTGATTACAAGTTCTTCCAATGACTAGCTTGGGTTGAAGAGTTGGAGGAAAGAAAGTGCCAAACGATGCTGGCCTCTCACCTGTTCGATGGGGTGGCCCTGTCCACTTCGCTGCATCCTGATATAATGACTGCTCCCAGGTGACAGTTGATGGAAGGAGGTCCCTGGCTTTTTTGCAGTATAGTACACACACACACACTGAGCAGAGCTAAAACTGTTAGAGAGACTCTCCCTGACCTGGAACTGAGCTTATCTCTTTAAACCCAAGCTATTCTTTTTTCAGTGGTGAGGGCAGGGCACTCAGCACATGCTCAGATGGATTCTTTAGAAGTGCCTTGTTTGTTCCAGGAATGAGCCTGGATGTATAAAATAAATCCAGGGCCAAACCCTATTTGTAGCTCATAATGAAGAAACATAGCAGGACTCCTCCCATCTGGTACATTTTCCTTCCCTTTACATAAAAAAATAGGCTCCAGTTGTTCATGGTATCTTGCTATCTGATCATATGCGTGTTTCTAAGACAAGTTCTACAGAGCTGAATGGGAGCTCCCTCCTATAAGAAGTGCTCAGAGGACTGTGGCTTGTCTGTGCAGTGCAATGATATCCAGTGTCATTTACTCCCAAGTAAATGTCGACAGGGTTGCAGCTGTGGCTGGAGGTTTCATTGTGTAATTGTTGTTGCTATTGGACTTGTGTTTGATGTGTTGTTTTACAAGGAGTTGCAATTTAGTATTTCAGAACCGTAACATTTTTGGTTTGGTTAAACAGTTACAATGCAGACTAAATGTTTTTTATAAATGCTCCTGGATTCTTAGGGAACAGCTGAGGACAGTGGTACTTTGTTAACAGGCTTTACTTTGTTTGGAGGGATAGTTCAAAGTGCTGGTTAAAGCCCTAAATCATGGCCGGGGATCAGACCACTCAATGAAGCCAAACATTGAAAGACTCAGGCCACATCAAAGGAAGAATTCCATAGTAAGACTGTAGCAACAGATCTTACAAGAGTTCCTATTTTCCAGGGACAGTCCCAGATTTACAGAAGCCGTCCCAGTTTCTGATTTGATCCTGGAATGTCCCGTTTTCCTTAAGACATCCCTATTTTCACTGGAGAAATGTTGGAGGGTATGGAGTTATGTGACCTCCAAGCCAAGGAGACAACCTTGAGAAGACATCTGAAGCTTTGTAAAAATAGTTTTCTTGTGTTTTTATATATATTGGAAGCTGCCCAGAGTGGCTAGGGCCACTCAGTCAGATGGGTGGGGTATAAATTATAAAATGATGGTGGAATAAAACATCCCTCTTTTCATCAGAGAAATGTTAGAAGGTATGTAAAAATGGCCACCAAGTCGGATGGTTTTGAAAGAGAAATCCACAAATTCACAGAGGATAACACTATTAATGGCAGTAAGCTTCCAAATACCAGTTTACTGGAAACTACAGGAGGGGCGAGTGGTCAAGAATTTATGTCCCAGTGGTGAGATCAGGATGCTGGACTCATCATCGTATAAATATATCTGAGTTCTCTTCCCCCAGTCTCTGGCAACTCACCACCAGCACCACCAGACATTCCATTTTTGAAAGGCTTCTCAAACTAAAAGGAGAAAGAAAAATCCAATTATAAAAAATGATTGATGTATGAAGCTGCCTTATATTGAACGAGGCCACTGCGTTCCGCAGCCTGATGTTGTCAGCTCTGACAGACAGCTGCTTTCTTAAGATGTCAAGCATCGCGGTCGTTCCAAGCTCTGCTCTCTAAATTCCTTTTAACCGGAGATGCCAGGCTTTGAATCGGGAGGCCTTCTGCATGCAAGACACATCCCCTGCCACTGAGCAGTTGTAGCTCTGCTTCTGTAAGCTGCTGAAAGCAAGCCTGTTTGTCTGCCATGCTATTTGTATGCTACGCCATGGGAGCAGGTGGGAGACAATGGGAAGCCCGAGGAAGCCTTTCGTTTGAATCTTGGCCCGGCCCGTCAATTCACAAGGTGGACTTCAGCAAGCCACACACTGCCTCTCTCTCAGCCTCAGATGCCCCCCTCTGCACCCCCAGCAAGGGATCCTGTTAAGAATCACTGAGATAATGTATGTTATTTATTTGTTTTTATTTACTGCATCTATACCCCACCCTTTTTCTCCAAGGAGCTCAAGGTGGGCATACAGTTCTCCTCCTCTGTCTCCACATTCAATCCCAGCAACAACACTGCGAGGTAGATTAGCCTGAGAAGGAGAGATTGGCTCAACAACATGCCACACTGATTCTCCTTATCTGGCGCTCAGACATTTTTTCCTAGTTCTGTTCTGAAACCTGCGCTTTAAGGTCTCCTCCAGATGACCCATTTCAGAGAATCATAGAAGAGCTGGAAGGGACCACAAGTGTCATCTAGTCTAACCCCCTGCAATGTGTTGCACAAAGCTTTCATGGAGTTTAAATTATGTCTGCTTTTTATTGAGCCGTCGTCCTGATTTGTTTCCATGGAGGCTATTTGACAATGAACATTCCTTGTGATTTGCTCGTGCATTGTTTCTTCATCTTCCTGCGAAGCCTTCATCCATTTCATGCTTTTTAAATGCATTTCTCTGACATTTTCTGAACCACCTTTTTAAAGCAGATTTGCTGCACCAGGGTGACAAAGCACTCGGTTCTGCTTTAATTCCACAGACCCAAATCTCTCAGGATGCATCCAAATGCCACCCACAAAAGGGAAGCAGTTAGGGGGGCAGGTGATGCACCTTACTTTGTCAAAAGTTTTCTTCCTATGGCAAGATCTGTGGGGAACCAGCATCTTCTGCTTAGGTTACAGCAGATCTCCAGCTCAGACAGCTAATTCCTGGCTCAGCCAAAGATACCCTTGCTTATCCCAGCTCAGCTGGCTGAGTCTGAGCCGAGGCCAGTGTAAATCCCCCAAGGTGGGGCATCCTAAGAGTGTGATGGGAGCAGGACCAGAGAGCGAGAGGACTTAGGCTGGAACCAAAGCCCATTCATCTCAGTCATATGACCTTGAAACGCAACACAGGGCCGTATTTTAAAGACTTGCTTTCTCTCTGGCAGGCTTAGCCAGAGCAGCAGCGGCAACCATGCTGCTGAACAGGGGTTGAATCCAGTGCAATTTTATTCTGGCTTAATTTACAGTTGCTTGCTTACTTTACACCAGCTTCTTCGCCATAGGATTGCTGCCTAGGTCTCCTGACTCCTAGGTCACATCCACACAAAGTACCGTACATACAAAGTACTCTTAGATCACTTTACCTGTTACTTTAACAGCCAAATAAAACTGGGAACTGTTGTTTGTTGAGGGTGCTGGGAGGGGTCAGCTTCAGGGCCCAGAATTATTTGCGGGGTGGCGGAGAGCCATGACTGTCCCAGTGGCATAGGTGTGCTTTGAATGTACAGTGTTTGTGAGAGACCCTAGTCCAACACTCTTATTGCAATCCTCTATACCGAGTTAGGACGCGGTATGGACGGTATGGAATTAGGACACGGGTGGCACTGTGGGATAAACCACAGAGCCTAGGGCTTGCCGATCAGAAGGTCAGCGGTTTGAATCCCTGTGACGGGGTGAGTTCCCATTGCTCGGTCCCAGCTCCTGCCAACCTAGCAGTTTGAAAGCACGTCAAAGTGCAAGTAGATAAATAGGTACCGCTCTGGCGGGAAGGTAAACGGCGTTTCCGTGCGCTGCTCTGGCTCGCCAGAAGCGGCTCAGTCATGCTGGCCACATGACCCGGAAGCTGTACGCCGGCTCCCTCGGCCATTAAAGCGAGATGAGCGCCGCAACCCCAGAGTCGGCCATGACTGGACCTAATGGTCAGGGGTCCCTTTACCTTTACCTATACCGAGTTCACATGTAGTTTTCTTCAAAGACTGTGCATACTTTACTGGCTTAAAATGCAGCTAAGTTGTTCTTTTTTTTCTTCAGTCCTAATCATAGCTGGTTTGTGGGGGAAAGCATTAAAACAGAATATTTCATTTTAAAAGAATAAGAGGATAGATATGACTGATCACTAATGTTGCATGCCTGGATAGCTCAGTGGGTTAGCGCATGGTCTGATAATGCCAAGGCTGCAAGTTCAATCCCCGTGTGGGACAGCTGCATTTTTCTACACTGCATGGGGTTGGACTAGATGATGCTCAGAGTCCCTTCCAACTCTACAAATCTATTATTTTGTAGACTAGCAGTGAGAGCACATTGGATGCAAAGCAAACCAGAGTATGTTCACAGCCTAAGATTGCAATCCAATTTACACTTACTACTAAGCACTGAAAGGAAGTCTAATTGGACTCAGTTGGACTCACTGCTAGGATCCACCTGCACAAGTGACTCACATTTCTCCCCGCTTTACTTGCTTACAATCCTAAGCATGTTTACTCAGAAGAAGGCCTCACTATGTTCAATGGGACTTGCTGCCAAGTAAGTGACAAACTTTTTTTTTTTTTTTTTTGCAAATTTTGGCAGTTGCTTGATTAGATTTTAATAAGCTGTGGGATATGTGTTGTGTACAAAAGCATCATCTCTGATCTCTTGAAATACACACACAAACGACAACTTATTGCGTTGCTTTGTGCTTAAAAGGTTCACATTTGAAGGGACCTTCAGAATCAGCTAATCCACAAACCAGTTAAGCTTAAGTGCTCTGCTTCAAATTGACCGATCCAATTTAAGATCAGGATCTCCTTA